TGATATTTCTAACACACCTTGAAAATACAGTGTATCTTGTACTGGTAGAAAGAAGATATTAATGCTCGGTTTTATCAATTAATGAAGGCCCCCCCCAAAAAAGATCTTATTACATGTTGATATTTCTAACACACCTTGAAAATACAGTGTATCTTGTACTGGTAGAAAGAAGATATTAATGCTCGGTTTTATCGATTAATGAAGGCCCAAGCGGCGAACCCCCCGGCGCATTTCACTTGTGTGTGTCACGCTTTCCATTTCCTATCCACCTCCCTCGCTCGCATCTCCACCTGCTTTCCTCTACACCGCCCCACCGCGCCGCCGCGGCAGCTCCAGCCGCCGGCGCCGTCCCTGTCACGGGGCACCACCGCTCCGCTGCACCGGATCTAGGTACACACCGTGAGCCCCCCACCCACCAACACACACAGCACAAACGCACTGGTTCTGCCACCGAACCCTTCCGGCTGCTGCCGCCCGTCTCCGACGAGCGCGGGAGCCGTCGAGGGAGCAGCCTTGCGCCTCACGTCGCTCCTGTCACGACGGGAGCGCCCTCGTTTCCCCCCTGCCACCGCAAGAGGAGGAAATACAGCAAGATCTAGGGTTTAATTACCTCTGATTTCTCGTGCGATTTGTTGCTCTTTTTGGTAGAGAGCTGCGATTAATTTCACCGAAATCTGGCAATCGGTTGTTGAAATCTCGATTTTTTGGTGGATCCAGTGTCTGACATTAGCAGGAAGTTGCAAGTGCATTAGTGGAAAGTTGAGTGTTCAGTTGGATTTTGATGCATACTGTTTTATTGAGAAATTTGGGCCCGGATCTCTGGAAATCTGCTAAAACATTGCTGGAAGTTAGCACGATAAGTTTGCTAAAATGTTTTCTTTTCTTCTGAATGTTCATCCTAAATATCTGAAACTTCACGTATTTTGAAGTACATTTCATTTATTTTGTCTGAAATCTCGTGGCTTACAGTTCAGACTTGTTGAAAGGTGGTATGAATTCTTATAAAAGTTGATTTAAACCTCTGTTTGTGGTAAAGTTCTTCCTTTTGTCCTCATTTCAGTTTTGAGAGCCAGCACAAGTGGGCATAATGTCTGAAATGGAAATCCGACAGCCCAATGTGGCTGTTGGAAAGGAACAGCTGGCTTTCTCCTGACCAGTGACCTGTAGCTAGAAAACTTCCTAATGAGTAATTAGATGTTTGGTGATCTCAGCCCACGAGTAATCAGATTCCAAACAATGCATGTTTTGGGCAAAATTCCAATGAATCTTCGTTATGTCAGGAATGTAATACATACTTAATATAGTACGGTTTCATAAACTCCTTTATTTGTTGAAACAGAGGGCGCAACACAAGATGGTGCATCTAAGATTTACTGGTGCGTCCGATAGTCGCTCGAGCAAATCACGAGAGACTATAGGCGATGTGATACATGGCAAGGTATGCTCTGCGTGTTATTCAGCCCTAGGTTATAAGTTTACGATCGCTTTAGAATATATACACATGTTCAACTGATGTTTATGCAAACATTCTTTTGCATGTGAAACATATCCTGTATTTGTACAATGATGGGTACTTTATGTGGAATTTTACATGATACATGAATAAACTGAATTCATCATGGGTGGGGGAGTTGGGCTGAGTAGTAACAAGTGGTTTTAGTTCGGTTGGGAAGCGTATTACTAGTGAGCAGAGAAACCACACAAATGATTGTGCACTACTTTTTCTTAATTGTTCACTTTTAAAATGGGCAGGGTCTTCTTTCTAAAAAAAATCCTTGGTGAAATCGGGATGCTAATTGTGAAATTTCGGGAACCACTTTTGCAGTATTCATTTTTCTTCGCTTTTCTGATTATTTTGCAGTCTCCGAAAATTGTTTCAAGATGTTCCCAAAATTTGGAGATATACTTAAAAAGAGCGGCGATGGATTTTTTTGGGGGGAAGAGCTTAAAAAAAACACGAGACGTATTTTTGGATATTTGCTAATCATTTTCCAGCAAAAATTCACACATCTTCCCACATACCAGTTTCTTAAAGTCTAGATCTACTGTTTCATGCTGAACAACAAAGAAATATAAAAGACGCAACAGTCAACTACTTGGATATGCTTTTCAGAAATTATGTAGTGAGCTTCCAATATTTTCAGATTAACTTAAAAAAGGAATGTACTTTCACAAAGTTGATGCATTTCAAGTATTTTTATGAGGTTTTAAAATCTTATGAAATGAGCTTCCAAAAGTTTGCTAACCAAGTTTTATTTTAAAAAGAGGCAATTGCCCGGCCTTAAAATGAGGCCCTTACAAGTGAACAACAAGTTCGAGTACGAGAGAAGCTAAAAAAGGTTCGATACAAGGCCGCAGGCCAGACATAGTGACACAGTGCATGCGAATAACAAGAAGAAGAACAAAGCGGTCACACTCGGACCTCCAACACCACCTCTAGCACGCGTGAGGCTTACTCCCTAGCCATTGTGGTTTCGTCACGAGTGGCTCAAAGGACTTGGCACCTTGAGCGAATCCTACTGATAAAAAGATCAAGACGTTGCCGATCCCGCGAACGCCCCAAGAGTCTCCATAGCTGCAACAACACGACATTTCTGTACACAAGATCACCCGGGTTTTTAAAAACGGGTCCCTCCATCAATGCTTTCTTGCGAGCCATCCATAAGACCCAAACCATAGCTCCGAGCCCCACCCATGCTAGCTGATTATGCTTTGCCACAGTTTCTTAAATAAGAAGATGAAAGTCCGCAAATCCGGCAGGGTTCCACGAGCATCCCGTGGCATCCCGAATAACACTCCACATAAATCAAGCCACGATGCAGCGAAAAAGAATATGGTTGCACGACTCGTTGTTGATCAAAATAAGATTTCAGACCATGTCGCTTAAGAACTTAGTCACGGCTGGGGATTTGACTTCTTGCCACTTGCCAGAGGAAAAATCTTGACCTTAGCCGGAATCCTAGCCTTCCACAGCCCACATGCGTCCCACCTAGGTGCTGCCTTAAATATCTCTCGGTATAGAGAGTCCGTGAAAAAAAAACTGGACAGCTCAAGCCGCGAAGATACCTCGTCCCTGTCCTGATTAATATGGACACTCTCCAAGTCGCACCTAAGGCTTTGTCAATCCGTTGCTTCCATGTGGCCTAGAGATCGCCTAAATCCTGGTTTCCAACAACTACCATCCCACATATCTGCCACCTTGGCGTCTGGGGCATCGCTGATGGCGAAGAGCCTAGGGTATGATTCTCGGAGAGGCATGTCCCTAATCCAAACATCCCACCAAATTTGGGCCAGTTGCCCATTGCCAACCTGAAATCTTGACCCCAACCCGAGAAGGTGTTGGACTTCCCTAACAACTTTCGCAAATTGTGTCTGCTTCACATTTGCATTAATCTCAATCCCCTTGTTCGGAAGATATTTATTCCTAAATATCTGAAGCCAGAGGCCCCCCTTAACCGGTTAATTTTCCATGCCCACTTTCCAACAAGACACCAATTCATTATCTTGGTGTTGATCACTCCCAAACCAAGTCTCAAAAAAATTAATTTGCATCTTTCAACACACCATGTTTTGAAAGGCTTCTTGTTTTTGTCAGATGACACGAATGAAAAAGTGCAGCTATCAACCATTTACAAGCTAATGGGAAATATCTATTGTGCTTTCAAAAAATCATGATGTGTTTTTACATTTTCACTAGGACTTGGTTTGCTTCTTGTCATTAGTTTTTCTCTTCTTTAAAGTACTCAAAAGACTTCTTTTTAATCAAAGCCCTATAGCATCTGCATCGTTGAGGTTAAACAAAGGCTAAAAGGGACAATTCACCTAATTTCGTAGGATCAACTGGGAGGTACTAAGTAATGCTAAGCTTGTTGTTTCTTATTTTGTTAAATAAAAAACTGAAAACAGAAGGCACCATCTTAACACATGTGTAAGCTGTGCTTAAGAGATATGATTGAAAAATACAAAATATACATAATGTTTCCACCATAGCTGGTTTTGATGCAGATCAGACCTCGAGGTGAGGCTCGATTCATTGTTAGCCCGTACCCAATCTGTCACAGCACTCTCCTACATACCAACAAGTAGCAGTTGCCAGATTTTAAATGGTGTTTGCAAATCCCCGAGGAAACAACACACCGACCCCTTGAAACGAAGGAATAACATGGACAAACCATATAGTGTCATCTTGTAATCTCACAACGTGGTAGAGGCTTTTGCATGGATTCTTCTAGAAACTTGGGAGTTTTTACATAGCTTTCCCAGAATTGTATAAGAGGACTTTAACCCCCAAAACACTTGGTCTATTAATCAAATATAACCTGTCTTACATGGTACACACCTTGGCTGTTTATAGTGTACAGCCGACTTTCTAATCTTGACACACACGTTTTGACCGATATGGTATTCTCGCGTACCAACATGGAAAGAAGGAATCTTATCTAAATATTCCGCTACTACTACTAAATGAAGCTAACAAGTAAAGCTTGGGCTCCATGCACCGTCTTAATCTCACATGATAGGCTGCCTCCACCCAAAATTGCATAAAGAGAATGAGTTGAGAGAACCTCGTGTCAGTCTTGCAGTTCTTCTCTTTACCTATAAGAAAAAGAAGCAATCACTCAAATCTTATTTGATCGCTTCTATTTGAACAAGCGACCCACATTTTCTGATGTCCACGTGAAGGTGCAGGAATAGGAGTTCTTTGTATCTCTTCCTTGATTCTTTCTTTGGAACAGAACAAATCAAGCCTTCACAAGTTTTCATGCAGCTGGACTCCGTCTCTTATAGTATTCTGCTATTTGCATGGAAGTCGGTTCAAAATTGGAAACTGGTTGTCCTTTACCGAAAAAGGCTTTCCCCCCGCTTTATATATAAAGCATAGACCAACAGTGCCCGCGGTACAACCACACTCACCCACCACAAACGCACACACACACCCAAGGCAGGATACACAGGTGCTGAGCGCAGCAACACACTCCCTAGCACTACAAGAGCCGCCGGGGGCTTCAGCCGTGAACGCCGCGAAGAAGTGAAGCCGCATATGACGAACCGTGGGCTCCAAGGCGGCGCCTTCAGGAAGGATACGACACCGGAGCGCCGCTACCGCCTGATCCGAGGATCAGAGTTTCGCCTAGAGCAACACGACGGGCAATGATAGCCGCGACGACGCCTTCAAGAAGGGAGCGATCTTCGCCGTCGCCAGTCTGTCCGAAGATAGAGTAGGTTTTCACCCTGGCCAACACTCACCGCCACCGAACGCCACACCCCGGCTACCATGCCGCCCACATGGCCGTGGCAGCCGACCAACACCGAGGCACGAGCTCTGCCCATGAACACTGCGGCACCACCACCAGGGCCATCGCCCTGGAATCCAAGACCTTGACACCAAGTCCCCCGAGCCCCACCGCTACCCCAACCGCAGAGACAGGCGGAAAGGATCCGCCTTTCGCACCCCTGGCCGGACCCAGCGCCGAGACCCAATAGGCTGGCCACAACAAGCCTCCATCGAGCCGTCCTGCAACACCGGGCGCGAGACGAGCGCAGTCCTGCCGCCGGGCACGAGGCGGGCCGGTCCTGCTGCCGGGCGCGAGACGAGCGCAGTCCTACAGCCGGGCGTGAGACGGGCTGGTCCTGCTGCCGGGCGTGAGACCAGCTCGGTCCTGCGGCACCGGGTGCGAGACGGCCGACTCAGCCGGGAGAAGGCCAGCCCTCCGGCGAGAGAAGCGAACGGACGCCGAGGAGAGGGGTCGAAGGCTGACATAGGCAGCCTACAGACGAGCCGATGCCAGAACAATCTGGCCGCCGCCGCAATCAACCTGCCACCACCACATCACCTGCGCCTCCACGCCCTGGTTAGAACCACCCGAAGCCCCCCACCCCGCACCGGAGCAGCGCGGACACCGGCCGCCACACCACCACCTCCACGGGGTCGCCGGCCACCCCCGACATCGAAGACAGCCACATCCACCGGATCTGGGCCGGGATGCCCAGATCTGCCTCCAGCACGACCTTGACCACCAGATCCCACGAGCCGCAGCGGGGAAGGGGAGGAGGAGTCGCCGGCGGGCCACAGGGGCGCGGGGCGGAGCGCCGGAGCAGGAGCCGGCCGAGACCCGACGCCGCGGGCAGGAGGGAGGCGGCCCGCGACGCCATCCATCCGCGCGCAGGGGAGCACCGCCCCGCCGCCGCCTCGGCCACGCGGCCTTTGGCCGGCGGCGCCCCCGGCAGCAAGGGAGGGGGAGGCGGGGCGGAGGACCAGAGGGGAGGCGCGAGGGTTGCCTCCCGACGGCGCTCGCGGGAGCGCCTCGGGAGGAAGAGGGGAGCGGGATCCTGGTTTTTGGTTTTGGTGACTTTGCGTATAGGTCATGCACAAACGAAGTCTTCTCCACTCTAGCATGTTCGTTGCACCACACAGCATGCATAGCCATCATAGCAGTCAGGACTTTGGCCTCCTCACCTCCATTACTAAACTAATTTTTTTTGGCACATAAATATCTCTAATTTTGAGTTTATTGGGAGCACCTGCAGCTTCCATAAGTCACCAGGGGGCGCTATATTAGGTTGGGTATCGAAAAGAAATACATGGCATTTTTGTGCAATGAACCTTATTTTATTCATTTGGTCTACTCTTTGCAGTCCCCTTGCAGCTGGCATTCTATACACAGTCAAAGTCAAACATTTTCAATAACACTTTGTCTGTAAAATTTAAAAAAATTAGGATCAGGTAATTGAAAACCATATGAACATTTTTTGTCAACGGTGATCTAAAGTTAGTGATGATTATACAAGATTTGCTTTTTTGTGCAGTGGATAGCCCTTGGCCAGGTGGTTATGCGTTTTTTGTGCAGTGGAAAGCCCTAGGCCAGGTGGTCAGCCCAACACAAATGAAAACATTACAGCTACCAAACCATTTTCTGCACAAGTTTTTGTGAAATATGTACTAGGTTTACAAAAAAGGCAATGTATCGGGTGAAAATGGTTGTTCAGTGAAAGTCTGGAAACTTTCCCTTCTAACCATCAGATCTAAAATTCGCAAAAAAAAAACATCAGATCTAAAATGAATGTATTACATAAGAGGTGGGTACCCCTTAGCCACTTAAAAACCCTTCATAGAAAACCCCCTCACATGTCTTAATCTGGTTGTACAACTTCATCTCCTGCCTCCGATCCGATCTCATCCCTGTCAAAACACATCACCGCCCGAGCTCAACAAGGACCCGGCGCTCACGACGCCGAGCAATGAGCTTGAGCCCACCACTTTCCAGTCCTGCTTTTGGGGCTACGTCTCGATGCCCGACCAACTCGCAGAATGGCAATTCCTGAAAGCGGCGGTGGCCGGCGAGCAAGTGCTACATGGCGGGGGACTTCAAAACAATATGTGATCTTCCTTGCTGCACACACCCTTGGCTCGCTCTCTCGACTGCTTCCAAAGGACACCACAGCGGGCCCCTGCCCCCACATGCCGCAGACCACGAGACGGCTCAGGAACCCCTCTGCGGAAAACTAGCTTAGTTGCTTTCTTTAGTTAGTTTCACCTAGAGTTCATATCTTTGGTCAATTTCGCCGTAGTTTGCTACTTGTAGTAGAGTCAGTTCGGCAATGTGAGCTAATTGTATCGTGAATCTGATTTTTTTTACTGTGTATCATGATTCATGATATCAGAGTTCAGACTTCGGCAGTTTTATTAGAACCTAAGAAACCTCATTGGAATTAGACTCCATTTGCCTTTCAATTGACCTGCAAGTTCTTTTACTTAGGAGCTTGCAGTCGCAGCCCCTAATTTCCTTGAAACTGAAACCGATTGCAAGAAATTCTTCGAGGGTTCAGATTGATTGGAAGAAGCTGGCTGCCTGGGACAAATTTCAAACAAAGTATTATCTGCAACTCCGAGAGGCAATAGTGATCCAATCTCACTTCCAACCGATCACCATTGTTGCAAAGTCTAAATCAGCTCCGCGCCTTGGATGAGTCTCATGCCGGAGCTGCTGTGCGCAGCCACGGGTCGTGCACAGTTTCCCTTCGTCCGTACAGAAAATCAC